ATGGAGCTGGCATTTTGATTTGTGATGTTTTTTAAGTGTAAGAAAAACATCTGTATATTCTGTAAGATCATTTTGACACTTTTGATATGGTAATTTGTCCCATACTTGATCCTGAGCTCATTACACCCAGGATATATGAAAATAATGGGCTCAAATGAGCGACCTCATATGAGCATCTATGCTGTCGCTCAAAATGTTATCTTCATACTTACAGTAAATATACATTCCCTCTGAGCAGGTGCAGTATAATCACCATCAGTCAATGAGCTGCTGCACTGGAGCAGTTGGTAGTTGATTACTTTGCTCATGGGCACCTCACAGTGTAAACAGCTCTTTCTTTGTCGTATTTGTTTCGTGTAAATACTGAATGAGATTAGAGGAAAAACATTCAGACCGAGAGACCATAAAGAAGAGAATGATGCTGTTTTTCTTAACAGTCCATCCTCCGTTCTCTGTACTGTTTTCTCTGTATTGATTGCCCTGTTAATGTGTGGGACACAGACTCTTTTCACTGCACTGGGCTGTATAGACGTGTTGTGTTGAGAAGTTTTGCTATATCATTACTGCCAGTACTGTAAAGAAATTATCCTGATCCTCACACTCATTTGTACACGTTAGTTTATCACTGACTACATTTACATGAACACCAATAATATGATTATTGGCCTTATTCCGACTAACACTTTACTTTTATTATGATGTTTATACAAGTTTGCTAATAGAATTTTCTTTACACGTCACAGAGCATAGTCTTGATTATGACTCACTGACAATTCTGCAAAGTTTTTGAAAATATTGCCATTGCGATGTTTGCACTAATCTAAAAACGTACTGATTTCAATTTACCTGAAAACACACAGAATAACTATGGTTTATCCCTCACACCAAAAATGTGAATCCTTCGTAGCGCCAGCCATCTTTTTTTACACAAACCCAGATCAAGCAGTTGTTAACAGCCGTATGTCGAAGTAGCATATCTCCAATAAGATGTTTTAATGTGGTTACATCGTATATGTTTACACAATGCAACTACTGTCAGAATACTCCACATGTTTTAGTTCTATCATAGCTTATTCTAGCATGACCTTACAATAAGACAATTCTGTTTGCATAGCAGTGTCTTATTCCGAATATTGCCTTTATCAGGTAAATATCAGAATATTGCTGTCCATGTAAACGTGTCTACTGAACCATTAGGGTGTTATACTCAGCATATTACATTGTTTATTGTTATATACTGTAACATGTGTGTGACCAGTCAGACAGGTGAAGCCAGAGAAAGTCTTATTGAACAACTGAATACAGAAACCAGTGTTTTACACTGTGAGAGGAACTCTAATTAGAATGAATAGGGTGATCCTCTGGAACACTGATTCCATATTGATAGATATTGATAGACAGCATATGCTCCTGGCTGTGCAGTGCATACATATTCTACTATTTTCCAGCTGCATATTTAGTTTTCTCCTCACAATCAACACAGTTGTTTGTTTTACAAATCCTATATTCTCCAGTCTTTCAATAGCAGTCTGGTCGATGTTGGTACTTTTTTTTGAAATAATGAAAAGGATAATGTCACATATAAAGATAGAGTTTTGAATCAAACCCCTGTTTACTGTGAGGATAGATATGTGGTCTACTGTCGTTCAGACTTTCAACACAGATTCTTCTTTGTGAACTGTGGAATCACTTTTATTAAACTTTATAAGCCACTGTGCTCACTTTGCCCTCCTGTCCTTCTCAGTTGGATTGCTTGAGTTATAATGTGACTTTCAACAGATCTGTAACTGTTTGTTTTTGTGTGTTGTTTTTATTTTCCAGAGTGTCTCTTCATCTTCCCCTGCCAGTGGAACTACAGGCCTGATCACTGTATGTACGGCAGTAACTGTAAAGGGGCTGAGGAGGATGGTGTGTCCATCCTCCACGGCAACCGTGGAGTCTACCATGACGACAAGCAGCCAGCCTTTAAAGTAGTGTATGATGCAATACGTGATGTAAGTATTCCAAAGTATTCAGTTTTCACTGGCACAAAGTGGTACTGACGCATAGCGCCCTCTGTTGAAACCCCACACCCAGTGCAAGGTGGATGTAGTTGTGTGTGTTTGTACACTCACTGAGCACTTTATTAGGAACACCATACCAACACTGGGCATTTACCAAAATCTGTTTTTTATGTTAAATTTGTTCTTAAGAAAACTACATTAGATAAATTAGGTGTTCTTAGAATGCACATTTGTTCACGCGTGTCTTCGTAAATTGAAAGCACAGAAATCAAAAAGAAAATTTAAGAAGTCATGAATGCGAGAATGGAAAAAACGACAATGTAAAGACTGTATCAGATGCACATTCATGCAGCCAAGCTGCTGTTCTACCACATCCCTCTTCTACTGGATTCAACTCATGTTTATATTCATGAAACCAGTCTGAGACTTTTCTTTAGTAACCTGCTGCATCATCATGCTGGAGGAAGCCATTGAAAGATGGCTATATTTTGGCCCTATGAGGTATATATAAGAGTACTGAGGTTGTGTTTTAGAGAAGTAATATAATGGATTATGATAAATATTCAATATATTGCTATTTTAGTAATACACCTACATATATCAATGGCTTTGAATTTGTCTATGATTTATTTTCATCTGACTGTAAAGCCAAGAAGCACATTTTCCATAAAATGTGTTAATCTTGACCTGCTCCTTTAAAGACATGAGCTCAGGAAAAGAGCAGCTTTGAGAATGTTCTCTCTCGCTCACATTTAACAATCTGGGTCAGTTTTTAAATTTAGAATTTGTTTGCTCTTTGAGTAGAGTCATTTCCCCCCCTGCTCTGCGGAGATAAGCCTCTTATAGATGAGCTGTGTCGTAATTTATGATTAATAGAGAACCCACCCTACCCCATCCCTGTTGAAGTCTTTTGTATATACTATTTAATATGTGATATGTTTCATTAAAAAAAATCATGAAATGATGTAGCTCTGGGGGCAGAACTGACACAGAATTGTGATGTCTCCATCTCCACAGTTTCCCTTTGAGGACAACATGTTTCAGTCACTCTTCTACCCCATCCAGAGCAAGTTCCTGGACACAGTTAACACTCTGTGTGGCCGAATCCCTCAAGTCTTCCTGAAGCAGATAGAGAAGAGCATGAGGAAGGTGTTTGAGGAGAAAGTGGTCAAACACGTCATAGTGCACAAATAACCGATGGAGAGAGAGGACTCCTCTGTTTTTTCAGACAATGCCAAGGACCGTCCGGCTGTGCATTATGTGTCAAACCAGCATCTCCCAAACAGGAGTGGCGGCTCAGCATTTGCAGTGTATTCAACACGTGATGAAAATGGTCTTATGAGCAATATGACCCTCTAGCGATGGCGTGGGGAATAAGCCTATTGTGCACACAGAAGCATACAGTGCTGGTCAGTGATGCTGTAGAATAGGTTTCCCTTACTCCCAGTAATATGAGTTGTGATGAGGTGAATGATAATGTTGGAAAGTTACAGTGGAGGAAAAGACAGTGGGTTATTTTTCAAGAATTATTATTATTATCATCAGGTCTTCATCTCAAGTGTAAAAGCGAAAATGAAAGTATATTTTTGTCAATCCAGTGCTTGACAAAAGTATCTGCCTTCCTTATTTTCCTCATGAACATAGTATTAAGCAAAACAAAGTCAACTTTGGGCTTTGGAAAGCTTTACTACTGAGAGTAGTAAATTCATAAACCACTCCTTTAAAAATCATGTGAATGTTTTACCAGCAAATAACTTGAACCGTGAGCCTGAGTGAATGAGAGGAGCTGTGTGTTACTGTTACAGAGCAAGTATGGACTTTCATGTTTCACACCGAATGTTGAAATGCACTTTCAAGAATGATATTAGGACTGGACGGTTGTACACACACGAAATGAGACGCAGCACTGTCAAAGTGAATCAATACCAAAGGTGCTAGCGTTTAAGAAGTGACATACTACAACAGATTATGTGCCATATATAATGTCGGCCATGTTTGCTATTATAAGACAATGGGTGGTATAGGCGTGTGTGTTGTGTGGGTATCTTTGTAATATGAAGTATGTTGTGTTGTGAACACATGGGTCATATGTTTTAGCAACATTACTTTAAATGTGGCTCAATTGTCTAAATGTATCAAATGATTCAAACTGGAAACTGAAAATGGCTGAACAGTCACCGTGTGTTTCTGAAATAAAACAATGCAATGTCCTGAGCCTGCATCTTTAACACAAATATGCAATGTAAAGGAATGCAATTCAAAACTGCATTTTGAATGTCTACCTTTTGATTTTATACTTTACGTGACAATATGATTCACCAATGCTTTGAAACTGGATATAAACTATAAGTGGTCCACCAGTGGCTGACAGGTTGGTACAAAGTCCCTCAATTCTGTCCTTTCAGGTTTATTAAACAAATCTAGTCATTTAGGCCCAGTCTCAGTTCCTGGGTCCATTCAAGACCTTTGGAAATGCACAGTAACATAGTAAATGATTGATGATTTTCAAATCAGATTGGAAGACTTCATGCATGGATGTATCATTGACAGATAGAGGAAGTGGCTGACAGAGAAATCCTACTAGAAGCCAGCCTGAAGGACAGCACATAGGCTGTGATCTTAGCAGCAAAATAACAGGCCCTCAGCACAAGATCTGTGGGTTCCAGGGCAGACAAGACTCAAGGTGCAAGGCTGGGCAATAAAAGCCTGTGAGACAGTCCAGCGTGTATTGGCAGGATGTAAGATGCAGGCTGAGACAGTGAGCTCTGAGATACAAAAACAAGTAGCTGGGACACCTTTGCCGAGACATACCACCGAAAGTGGTTGGAAACAACAGAGATAAGATCCTGGGGGACCTCAACTTCCAGACTAACAAACGGCTGCAGGCCAACCAACCAGAGACAGTGGAGGTTGACGAGCAGAAGAGGGCAGTACGGGTAAATGTGGCATTTCCAGCTCACGGCAGCATCACGAAGAAGGAGCTCAAGAAGATCTAGGAGAACAACTGGAACAGATTTGGAGGGTGAAGTCTGAATTGGTCTCTGTCGTAAAAGGAGCATTATGGATTGTGGCCCTCAAATGGGAGAGGGGCAGAATCCAGATACAACATCTAAAGCATCAGTGTAGAAGAGTGCAGTCAGTTTACTTCAGATACTTCAGAAACACAAACTCAGAGGATCAGAGCATGATAGAAAAGGGTCATAATTGGACTGTTGCAAATATATAAATATATACTATATATCTAGATAGATAGATATTTCTATATATAGAGAGAGAGATAAACAGAAAGAGTGTGGTTTGTGTGCAATCTGTACTTTATGTTAAACAAGGAACAGTGTTTCTATATTTTTATATTTCTATCATATAAACATAGTGTGTCACTGTTGCATCTTTACGTTGTTGCCATGGTTCAGTGTGTCTCCTCTGTCATCTGGAGATAAGTGTTGTATCTGCCCTCACTGCTGTGTCTTGTGTGCCGCTGAACAGGCAGTGACCTCACGGCGCCATATTAAAATACTCCCTCCTCTCCGCCTGTGAGATCGGAGCTTAGCAGCCGCAGCTAGCCGCCAGTCTGCTTTTCACATCCACAAGACTGACAGAGGGCGACGACGTGATGGAAATTGACTCGCTTCAAGAGGCGCTCAGAGGTCACTTCACTTTCTTTCGACAGGTTTTCTGTTCGTTGCGACCACGTGTTCTTCCGTAGTTGTTGTATAGTGGAAATAAACGAGATGTAGCTCGCCGGCTAACGTCGCTAGCTGCTTCTCAGAACTAGCTTTAGCTTATGCTAACATTACAAGCGGTTGGACGGAAGCGGCTAACCGTCTGTTCGTTACGCTGACCCACCATGAAAACTCACTAAATATACAGCTTCTCTCTTTATTCCGTCCACCAAACGTGTTTGTATTTACCCTCCATGAGCCCTTGTTTGCTCACTGATAGCTGTGGCTGGGATGAAGTAGCTTACCACTGTCAACGGCTAGTGAGAGACAGTTTGCCGGCTACGCTGATGCGGCTAACTGAATGTGCTAGCCAGTGTGCTAAACTGAAGCTAATTCTAGCTAGCTAGCCAGCGACCTAGCAAGACTGTTAGCAACTGTAGCTCGTTGCGTTATGTAAATAACTAACGAGACAGTATGATCGCCTTCAGTCCTAATGTGTCCGCAGACCTGCAGACAAGCCTCGTGTGTTTAGCTTCAGCAGGAAACCACTGCAGGTGTTCAGGACATCAGCGCTTTACAGCACACTTCCCAAAACTGGGTGAAGCTAAGTCAAATGACTTGTTATCCTCTGATCTGACTGTAACATTGTGAACATGTATGTTTGTGGTTCTCTTTCTCTGACCAGATTTCGAGAAGAAAGCAAAGAAGGAGCCATGTCCTCTTCTGGAACAGTTTCTATGTCATATTGCCAAGACTGGAGAGACCATGTAAGTGAACATTGAAGGCCTGATGAATTTCTCCAGCCTTACTACTACATCTACTACCACTATTACTGCCACACACAAGTAAATACACGTTTTGTTAATTCTGGGAGGAGCTTGTATTTGATAATAAATGCAAGCATAGTTTCTTTAGATGAGCAGTCCAGAAATAATCTCATATTTCCAGAACAGAACTTCATTTTTTCTAAATGTGATGCGTTGTCATGATGCAAAGTGTCTTAGTTTTTAGGTTTAGATTTTTTCTGTCTTCCAATGTTGCATTTCAAATGTGTTGAGCCCCATTGTGTTTACACTTGTCCGTTAGGGTGCAGTGGTCTCAATTCAAGAACTACTTCCTGTTTAAACTGGAGAATGTGATGGATGACTTCAGAGCCTCAGCACCTGAGCAGAGAGGTCCTGCAAATCCCAACGTGGAGTCAATTCCATTTGAAGATATGAAGGAGAGAATTCTGAAGATAGTGACAGGATATAATGGGTAGGTGCTATTAGTACATTTCTAAATAATAGAGTTTGTGCTAAGCTGACTGGAAGAATTGAGCAGTCACACTAAACTTGTTTGGTTCCCTATAATTAACACACTCCATGGATAGCTTACCTGTTTGCTACAGAGATATCTGTAGTCTACAATATAGAGTCTTATGACTGCTGCTTTTCTTGCTTTGAGAAAGTAGGCTGAAACACTATAACATTTGGGAACTGTCACAACTTGCCCTATTGAAGAATGACTTGAAGCCCTCTCTCTATTTTTCTCCCTTGTAGGGATGTCGTGATTAACCAATTTTACAATATCTGCGGTTTCATAATGTCATGATTTCATAACTGTAAGAATTGTAAAAATTACGATATCTAACTGTGGTGACCTGCCTCTTGCGAGTCACATAATTAGTGTTCGTGCCGCACGGTGAAATCTCTTGCGAGTCATGTTTTGTGTGTGTTTGTGTGTGTGAGCCACTAAAACGATAGTTGAGAAGAGGAAGAGGGAACTGACTAAACGGCCTTATTTCCACCAACGCTGGACAGACAACTCTATCGGAGGAGTTCTCAGCGAGAGGGCAAAACCTTGTTAATTTTCTGTTTCTGACCAGCTCGGCTGACACACACACACACACTTCTCTCTGTGTTGCTCTTCCTATTAACCATTATAAATGTAGCCAGGAGTTTAATTCACCTATACTGGAGGTAGTAATAGTATAATAAGGACATGAAGAATGTGGCTTGAACCAGGACAGTTTACCTGTTCACTTTTTCACAACTAGTCTGAACTTCCCTCCCAAAACAGAACAACTTCCGTCGGTGACCCTTTACAATAAAAGTCCCATACAGACACACGACAGGAAACACAAATTCACCGACCAACCTTCCACAATAAATTGAATAGATTACATAAATTACTTTGGAATAGCCAAATGTTACACTATAAAAACTTTCTTTAGTTTGCTTTCCATCAACTTGTTTTGTTTCCAGGTTCACAACCTCTGCTTCTACCTTTCATTACAGCCAAGAGTAACATGAGTGGAGGGCTGGGCAATAAAACGATAAAGATCATCAAAAAATAACATTTCCTTAAGACAGAAGAAATATAAGAAGTGGTCGATACAACGTTGACAGAACTCATTTCATCCGTGGCTGTAATAGAGTTACAGCCACATCAGCTTATATTGATGCCCACAGCAATGAGTGTAGGAATAGCAGCCGGCAATAGCACACGTGCTAATGTTTGGGCTACTGCAGCTGTGCATACTAGTACGTTAGGAGTGGGAGTGATATAAAAGAGAAAATGATGACAGAAAATGTTAACAAAATCTTGAGCAACAGTGTTACTGAAGAAGTAACCCTAATGGACACAGCCCAAGGCTCAAAAGGCGAGGACATTGTTGAAAAGGAATTTAGTAGTGTGGAGATATTTTGGTTATTTAAAGTTTGACAAGAAGCAAAGTAGTGTGCACTGCACATTGTGTCAAAAGCATGTTCCCACAAAGATGTAATACCACACACTAATCCTTTTTACCATCTGAAGCTGAAATGACAGAAATTGATTTATATCGTGATATATATTGATATGGACTAATATGAAAAAGATTATAGTGATAAGATTTTATTTCCGTATTGCCCAGCCCTAGCAGCCAATATATACATGTGCGATGTATGTATCGCAAAAAATACTGCTTGAACTGTGATTAAATGGTGTTTCATGTGCCACGCGTTCACACTCTGCAAGTCAATATCTGACCAATCAGATGGAGCCCTGCTGCCCTAGATAATAAATTAAAGATATTCAAATCATTGACAGGTTCTTTCATTAATCAATCAATAAATAGAGTTTTGCGAGGCAGCTCTGTGATGCCTCCTCCTCCCAACTAAATTCTATGGTGGAAACTTCTAGTGATCACCTTTGTCCAGGGTTAAATTCATCACTATGAGCGGTCGATTATATAAAAGAATTGCATATAGCTTATTTATGATAGTCCCAGAACCTTAGGGGAAAGTAACAGTCTACACACACTGACTCTGCTGCACTCTCTCTGGCTCTCAGACTCAGCTGACATCTCTGACTCACTACAGTTTAAACATTGATTTGTTTAAAATGATGCTATAATATCATCACTTAATGACCCATACTTGTCTAATGAGTAAAATATTTCTTAACAGAGCAGCGCGCAAATTCATCAGCCAACCCTCTCGCTCGATACACACTTACTCACTCACACAGTGTGATCAGACATGTGTAAACTCAAACTGGGTAAAAACAACTGAGTTTGTAAACTTAAACAATTTATGGAGAGGTGGAGGAGATGGCGGGGCACGAAATATAAAATGGTCTATGTTAGCAGTGAAACCAATCACAAAGACTTTAAAGGGATAGTTCACTGAAAAAAGGAAAATTCAATCATTATCTACTCGCCACTATGCAGATGGAGGGGTGGGTGAATTGAGTCAACAAAACACTTCTGGAGTTTCAGGGATAAACCTTGTTGCAGCAGAATCCAATACAATTGAAGCCAATGGTGTCCTCTCCTTCAACAGAAAAAACATACCATGCCTCCATACTGCCTGTGTGGTGTCATCCAGGTGTACGCAAGCCCCAACATTCATATTCAACTTGAATATTGGAGTCGAATATAAATATCGGGGCTTGCGGACACATGAATGACACCACACAAGCAGTATGGAGGCATGTTATGTTTTTTCTGTTGTTTAATTGTCTGAAGAAGGGGTCACCAGTTACTTCAATTGTATTGGATTCTGCTGCAACACGGTTTACCCCTGAGACTCCAGAAGTGTTTTGTGGACTCAAACACTTCAGAGTGAAGGAGATGAGTGAATTTAGATTTTTTAGTGAACTGTCCATCACTGTATACTTAAGCATTTGTTTATTTAGCAGTCATAAAGACATCGCAATATTTTAGCAACATTCTCGCATATTGCATGTTTTCCATATATTGTGCAGCCCTACTTTACATCACTTAAACTTTACACCACTGTGTTCTCACATCAATTCTGCTGACTTTATGCTTGGTTGCCAGGTTGAGAAAGTCCGCAGAAACTCCGTGTTGGAGTTCAGTGCATGTCTGAGAGCAGCTTAGGATCAACGTGATAAGATCACACTTTATTGATCCTGGAAGGGGATATTCTGGTTTTACAACCGCTGAGTCTGAATAAATCTGCCAAATGGACACAGATATAAAGGACCTATGATAGCTCTTCATCATACACATTGGGGGAGTAGAAGTAGAAATTGACCTAAACGATACATTTTGTATTTACTGTAAATGGATCCTTTTGCACTTTATTCGTAGAATCCCGTTTACAATCCAGCGCTTGTGCGAGCTGCTCACAGAACCGAAGAGGAACTACACAGGAACAGATAAGTTTCTCCGGGGGGTGGAGAAGGTACGTCTAAACAGTGGTGGATGATATTTTTTTCTCCTATCATTAACATGACACCTTCTGTCACTCATTTGGCTGTTCTTGTTTTGTTCTAGAATGTAATGGTGGTAAGCTGTGTACATCCAACCTCAGAGTAAGTGTCATGATAATGTAAAATGTAATAACTTTTAATGTAGAAGTTTAGGAATGATATTTTCTACTGAGAGTTCTGTATTGTTTACAAACGTGCAGGAAAAATGGATGCAGTGCCGTCAGTAGAATGAATGGTGTGATGCTCCCCGGGAACACATCTGCTTTTACAGAGAGGTTGGGACAGATTTTGTCCTTGATTTGAACATTTATACATTTTATATACACCATTAGATAACATATCTGTTATTTATATTATGTTTTAGGAAAGTCAACGGTCCAGGAACTCCCCGGCCGCTGAATCGACCGAAGGTGTCTCTGGCCAACTCACTAGCAGCTAATGGTCTGCCAGACAGCACAGACAACAAAGACCTCAACACAGAGCCAGAAGACGACAAAGACTCAAGGTATGTCAGGAGCCACAACGCAACTAGAAAATGAATTATTCATCTTCAACACCAACCCATTGGAATCACCTGTGTTTCACCTGCTTCTCCTTTCTTTTGTCAGTGAGGTTTCAGCATCTGAAGCCTCCCTCGGGAGCTCGGTGAAGAACAAACACCCAGACACGGAGGAGGACATGGAAGCTGAGCAGCAGGAGGTGAAGAGACTGAAGTTCAGCAAGGATGATGAGGATGAGGAAGATGAGGAGGATGAAGAGGAAGAGCAGGACGTTGACACACTGAGGCCTTCACATGTCACCTGCCTATCAAAAGAGGCAGAAGCCATGGTCCAAGAGGAGGAGGAGGAAGAGGAGGAGAAGGTCGGGTACAGCAAGGAGAATGAAGCTTCTAGCAGTGCGGCTGCCAATGAAGACCAAGGCAGGTTTTTCTTCCCCCCATACGTACATGTCTTTAACTGGTTGTTGGTTAATGGTATGTGAGGCTACATAGTTTTGAAAAGCTGGGTTCGTGCAAGTAGGTTATGAAAAACAGAAATACTACAGATGCACTGGCTTTAAATATAGTCCACAGGTAGAATAAGATTACAGGGTTATGAACCCAGTTATACTCAGAGGTAGATATATATCTCAGCAGTTTTTTAATACTGAGAAATTGAAATGTCTAGTACTAAGGGAAACCTCCAGAAAAGCCAGGTCAAACAGTTGAGTTTTACACCATCTCATCTGAAAAGGATGTTTTAGGTTTTAATATATATTATTTATCTCAGATCTGAAACATGCATCACATCACATGCATGTTTACAGTGAGGAAAACGTGACAGGGCATGATATCGGCAATGACATGTTCATTAGCAGTTCGGCAAAAAAATAGTTGATTCATTATAATGATAAGTAATGTCACTTACTGTGCATCGCTAGGTACGTTAGTATTTACAGATTTATCTGCTGAAGCACACCAGTAATGAAAAGTCAAAAGTGACTGTAGATAGCTGGTAACAATGCTTTTTTATGATTTGAGCAATAATATGTGACTGAACTTGGTGTAAAAAATGTAATTACCAATTTACCATTTTTTCATTTTACGCCCACATACTGCTACATAGTTGTACTTGCTTAACCCAGGGGTTTTCCAGCTGTTTTCTCTTTTTTAGGGTTAGGGTTGTTAGAGTTGCTCTCCTTCACACTGGCTGTCAATCAAGGTCTTACATGTGTCACACTTATAAATCCCACCATCTGACAGCTGCGCCAACATTGAAATTTAGAATACCGAAGAATTTTTTTAATGATTTTTTTAGGGGAACGTATTTACCTCTTTACTGAGAAATTAGTGTATAAAAATAACTGATGTAATAAATTAAAATCTAATTCACAACTTTTTTGTACCAGGGCTCCAGAGTTTTAACATTGGTTGCACTGGTGCACCTGACTTTTTCATTTAGGTGCACCCAAACCTTTTCACTGCACTTTTGGGCACAGCAATAATACACCTATTATACCTTTTCTTGGCAGTTCCCATATGCTTTGGTCATTTCTTCACTAGTGCTAAGACTTACTCGATTCTTGTTGTTCCGGGTTTGTACCCTTATGGTTGAATGCACTTTGGATAAAAGCGTCAGCTAAATGTAATGTAATGTAGGGCTGGGCTTGATTCCATTTGATTTGTTATGTATTTACTTAAGATATTTCAGTGTACATAATTTTGCCTGGATATGAAAGAAATTCTCAGAACGAAAGCTGTCACCTGTGCAAGGAAACCTCTTATTTGTTGCATTCTATAAAAAATAAGGTCGACCCTTCACAATAATCAGTGTGTTTGTGGGCACTCGTCGTTTTCGATGTGTTTAAATTCATGTCTCAAACTTATGAGCAAATCAAAAAAATACAAAGTAAACTTCAGGACTGTATGGGTCCTAATAACTTGTGATCAATGTTGGCTTTAAATGGTGAAGCATAAAGTGAGCGCAGGTCCTGATGAGACGATGTGATCAATACAGAGACACGCCAGTTAAATGTTTGTTGCACCAGTGCGACAAAGGAACTTTTTTAGTCGCACTCTGGACTTCACCCATTAAGACCTACGGTGCAGAATAAAGATGCTGTCTCAAACGTTAAGACCGGATTACAAATTGCAGCCGAGTCTTCTGATCTAAAGTGGGGGATAAGTTTGGACTTGATGTTCGATGATGTTTTTAGGCTGATGGTCATGTTTTACAATCCAACCAGTGATTTCAGTGTTATAAGAGGCAGCTGTACGTTGTAGTTCAGTGTGATTTGTGCTGTAAAAACTAGCAAGTTCAACTGTGTCTGTGGTTTTCTCTCTTGCTGTCATGGGAAAAAAATGTCTTTCAGACCCTGAAGATTAGCACAATTGTTTTAAATCCTGTGTCTTTATTGTAGTGTCTACGTCAGGTGCACAGACTGTAGGTAGATATTAGGACTGGACATGATGCATTTACATTCATGTGCTTGCAGTTGAAAATCCATATTAAAGCCTAATATGGGCTGTCTTCATTCAATATTCTCCTTCTCATATTCTGGACTTAATTACTTGTGTAATTTAAATTAAATCTGGCATCTGTGCACTAATGAAGTGAAACGTGTGTAAGAGTGAATATTGAAATGACAAATTTAATACTATGTCATCTTTCCTGTCTCTTTGCTGCCTGATGAGACGGTACCAAACCAGTCCGTTAATCCTTCTGAAGTTGTTTGGAAATAAATAACAAATAGCCTTGAAGTTGTTCATACTCAACTTTGATTTAACACATTTCCACCTTTCCTACACAGAACCTACGAGCAGCACGCATGCCGAGGTGTGTGCAGGCTCGGGTGAGGAGGTGGAGCAGGCCGAGAGGGAGGTACCGTGTGGCTCCCAGGACGAGGCCAGCGACATGGATCAGACAGAGCAACAGGCACCCGCAGGCGTCCTGGAGAGCCCGGAGACCAGCAGGGACAGCGAGGAGAGCAACAGTGACCCAGTGAGCAGCAGCAGCAGTAGCAGCAGTGGTAGCAGCTGTAGCATAGAGGATAGTGCAGACGCGGCCAGAGAAGACGTTGCTCTCGCTCCCTCCAGCAGTACAACTGAACCTCCCACAGAGGGCGCCATGGAAAGTGCCACCTTGAACACTGGGACCACTGAGGAGCCTATGGAGCAGGACTAGACTGCAAGTCCCCCCTGCAGCCGTGTGTGACCATAAACCAGCTTGTCCTTGAATCCAGTTTGACTCTCACTGGGATTGAGGATAACTGCACCTCGTACGCAAGACGAACGCCTCGTCCCGCTTTTGGACACTCCTCCAAAATGGCTACCTGGCATTTGATGTGGGCATAGAAATCAATTTTCATTTGAAGGTTTTTTTTACTGGAATATTTTATTGATCTTCTTATCTTGTATTTTTAATTTTCCCTTAAAAGGGGCTTGTTTCGGCAGCCTCGAGTTTGTCGGCTGGATTTTTTTTGTTCTTTCTTGCGCTCTATGGGTTTGTTTCAGTGCTGTGGTGGTCTGGTTCTAAAGCCACTCTCTCCAGCCATTTGGGACATTGTGACACGATTGGTGGTGTAGGTTTTGTACCCTTTAAGCCCAGTGTACCACACTACCAGGATCAGAACAGAGCCATACCAGCCCTCACTATTTATGAAATTGTTCACTTATGAGCTACAGCCACCATTTCAATTCCTGACTGAAGCACATGTAAAATATTCTTTAGTCGAGCTATGACCTGAACCTAACCCCCCACCCCACCCACCACAACTATGTTACTCCACCAAGCCTCCACCTGTTGATTGTTTTAAAATTTACCTCTCCATCAATGTGAGATGGGAGACCTTTTTTTTTTTTCCATTGTGTCCTTATATTATTTTAACCACATTTTTGCAAAGATACACTACCAATCCCGCTGAAGTATAGTATGACATGCTACTTTGTAGACATGTCCTCTGTAAAATGATATATTTTGGATGCATAAAACCACCATAATTTATAAAAATCATTTCAATTCAATAAGTTCTTTTGGAGTATGTTTTTTTTGTTCTGTCTGCCAGTTGTAGTTTCCAAAACCAGCTGTAAGTACAAAGATGACCTCTGCTTTCTTTGTATCGTGATGTCACCATGTTGTTTCACCGACAGATATCCAGAGCAGTTTCTGGTTCCAGTTCTACACCTGTTTTCTGCAGCTGTACTTTTTGATATTTAGGATTTTAAATTTCTGTAAAGTAGATTTTTGTAGATTGTAATACAGTATGTGTTCACTGCCTTTGTGAAACCATATATAATTGTATAATTTCTGTGTATACTCTGAATGCTTTTGCTTTCAATGCGGTATTCAGAATCAGCAATAAATGTTAACATTTTTATGCGTGGTGGTTTTGCTTATTTGCACACAGCATCTCATTTATGTGCAGTACTAGTGTTAATTATGTTGTTTCATGCTGGACACAGCTGGATACTGTAGCTGTCTCAGCAGTTGTCAGGCATTTTGACTCCTAGCTGAAAAGCACATGTGTAATTAATAACTGTGAAATTTTGATTGTAATGCATGAACCGAGTATCAGTGAGCTGATGCTTTACACAGTTCCACTGGAACAACAGCTGGGACTCATATCAAACCAGATTCATTGATGTCACTAGAAAGACCTGTGCTCCTGCTGTGTCAGAATGTCAGTCATGAATAGGGCATTTTCAGAATTTCCTACATTTTTTTTGTTGGTTAAAAAAAATTGTTGGACTCCAGGTTTTCAAAAAACAACTCAAACCTTTGCCCAAGTCCATACTTCAAAGGATGTCCAACTGGCTTCCCTGCACCACTGCCCGTTAACAAATCTCTATTCCGTCCATCCATTATCTATAATCCTTTTGTTTGGGAGCTGGAGCCAATCCCAGCTGACGTTGGGCGAGAGGCAGGGTACCCTGGACAAGCGGCCAGCACATCCCAGGGTCAAAATATATACACAACCATTCACAACTACGGTCAGTTAAGAGTCAACAATTAAGTGCTATCCAGCATATATATATATGTGATATGGGTTAATTTGCCATGTTACAGCAGAAAAGAAGACAGTCAAAACAGAGACCTCAGTCAAAGCAATAAGCAAACTTATTATTAAAAATTAAACATCTTGAACTGATTACAATTTTTATTGATGTGGGATACATTCAAAAATATGTGACTTTTGAGTCACTTCAAATTTGACTTCAGACTTAAGTGAATTGGGAACTCAAATACTTCACTTGTAAGATGTACTTTGATTTCACAGACTGCTGCAAGGTGTCGAGGTCCTGAGAAGCAGTTCATATTTTACACACACATTTAAACTCACGCAGGATGTGCAACTAATAACACTAACAATCTAGTGCGAGGTGACCCAGCGAGCCCTGCCATGCTGCCTGCATGCACCAGAAACCTGGCAGTGACATACCATGAATGAAACACAGCCTTTTTTATTATTAGCTACACATGTGTTCGACAAGTTATTTCCCACATTAATCCTCCTGTTATAATTTGTCTGGATCAGCTTTGATCTCCAGCACACTACTTCCCTACATGGTCCCACAAACATAATATGCAATACAATTACATGCACTCGCAGACATTATTTGCATTTTAAAAGAAAAAAAAGGTTTGTTTAAGGCTTTTCTCTCAGTGTCTCTGGGTAGTTGTTCCTCATTAATGGAAGTAATGAACCCATCAGCACGACTGTTGTCACATCCCTCCCCTGTGTCACACACAGAGGGCAGAGGAACCATGTATGAAAATTAATGAAGGCAGCCAATTTGACTTTGAGATTTTTCATGGGGCAGCTTTGTAAAAGCTCAGCAACTACATGGTTTTGGTCACAGTTAAAATACACAGAGGGGCGAACCATAGCTCATTAAAATAAAGATGACTTTTCACGTCCCCTTGAACAGCTCGGCTCAAAACCCTGCTCCTGTTGGTCAGTTTACAAACGCGTCTGTCACTGCTGTCGTTTGACTGCTGAAATTTGCCCAGGCTCTCGGAGGAAATAAGAAGTGGACTGCATTAATCCACGCAGCGCTGTTTTAAATTGGTGGCCTTTGAAGACTTGTCCCCGGGGAAACAAATGCCAGGTCAGGAGGGATATTAAAAAGCTGCATGACACCTAATGATTGTTAATCTGACCCCAGCTTCATGAATTTAAAGGTTTCACACACTTTTATTAGAGGCGTCCAAAAATATCCACTTGACTCTTTACACTTGTTATAAAAGCAGTTTACACTGTACCACAGTTACTCCTTAGTTCATGTATCATTACTGCAAATATAGACTATTCTTCTCTATTCTTCCCCTAAGAAGCAACATTTCTAATATTTATTTGATATAGAATAAATTGAAAAAGTAAATAACTGCAGTGCCTGGGTTTATCTTCCTATCACAACAGAAGTGCTCATGAAAATGAGAAAATGTTGATTTTTCAGTTAGTTTTTTCCTATCTTTGGGTTTTACTCACATTTATTTTGAAAAACACTACACTTCCTGCACTGTCTGTCTCATAACTGGTAGAGATACTGTAAATTGTCTGCAGGTATGATATTATAATAGTCTATGTAGCAGCTGGAGTGAAAGCTGCAGTGAGTGAACTGAAGTCTTTGATCAGACCAGTCAGTAAAATAACTATGAAATTAAACTCTCTCCCAGAGCCCCCCGACAGTGGACCCCTGGGGGTCTCGGGACCCCCCTCGAATCCCACTTGGCCGCTGTGAGGCGTTACACTCGGGTTTCATGCATCAGAAGCCGCCTCGAGAGAAGAACTTTTAAATGGAAGTGTGGTCAGCATGCAGCGCATAACAAATCACACTAATAGTCTTGAGTCATCGAGTTAAGTGGAAGCACTCCCCTCGATGACTTTGACAGGATTAAAAGACGAAATACAGGAAATCTTAAAGAAAGTGATTATAACACAGGAGTTACTCTCTCAGTTCATGGTTGAGCGGGACTGAGAGCTCACAGTCACGTCCATCTCTGATTGGGTCAGGCAATGCTTCGCGCAGTCTTCGTGCCATCCAATAGAGGGTACTGTTTAGTTTCCAACCCAGACCAAACGTGGCCCCTGAAATCAGAATGCTGGCCGAGTCATCCTGCTCCTGCGAGAGAATGCATGCAGGCTGTGACACACGCTGTGCGCCTCCTTATGTGCTGTCTTGAAAAAGGCACACAGACACTCTGTCCTCCTTCATCCCTGTGCAGCTCTGTCCGCAGGATGAACTCTCGCCTGTCTAAAATTGTCTCCCTGTCTTAGTGTGAGGGGACGTCAGAGCACGCTGCCGGTGAACACTTGTGAATGAGCTGAAGATGACATAGCCGTCGTTTTCTTTACTCTCCAGATGCTCGTGAGAATGTCTGATGCTTATGCTGGATTTAGCCTGTGACACATTCAACACACCTCTTGAGAAACCACAGATCGACTCCCACGTGTCTCATTTCTAGAAGAAGAAAAAAACTCTTTCATCGGAATGATCTAAAATATGCTACTTGTAAACACTAGCCTTGGCTCATTTGGCGCTTTCAAGGCAATGCAGTGTGTTTTCAGAAAATAAACAAGGTCAGAAACTGATTTCCTCCACATGGTTTTAAGATTTCTTAGTGTCTGTTGGTCAATTTCAGGTCCTGGATCAGGTGTGGGTGTAAATGTCAAGTTACATTTTTCTGGCACAGCAGGGTGAAACATTCTGATCCACTCTGACAAAATGGCAAACAGCAGTGAGTGGGATGCGGTGTGTTGGCAGACTGGAAAGGTCTGGGAGAGTGGGACATTTATTTACCACCACTTCAAGACCACCAAGCACACCTGAAAACAGAGGCAGCCAGGAGCCTCCACCGCTGGAGGCCTCCAGACAGGCTTCACAAGAACCGTTCAGCAAAGTGGGTACAGTGTGAAATACTGTGTAATGCTCTGAAATGGTCAGTGAAAAAAAAGGATTATTCTGATGTTTGAGGAGGGGATTTTTGTGAAGCTCAGTGAGGGGGCGGGACTCTCAGCACTGACCACAGGACGTGGACGCTATTGAATTTCCCCTTCTCTGTCAGAATGACATCATCACAGAGGAAGTTAGTGGAGGACTGCTTTGATTTAGATGGTGTATCTGTATCGTTCCTCATCAGACTGGCTTTCAGTCCTGTGACAGCAGTGTGGATCTGTACATTAAGGAGAGATTGTGTATATGACTTGTACAGAAACACTTGACATATCTTGACACATTCACCTTGGTCTCAGACACAGGGGCGTTGCAACAGGGTAGGCATGGCATGCAATTTCCTGGGGCCCTGAGCTGAGAGGGGGCCTCTGAGTACAGCTGTTTACAGCAATTACAATTTAGTGAAAACCTCCTTAAGTTATATGATTTGTTATGTAAAGGAAACTGCAACAACACCATGGTTGAAAACCCTCAATAACAAGGCAATTTTAGAGTTTTAGAATTCTAGAATGAAAGGTGTTTCAATGTTCAACATAGGGCCCCCAGGTTCATTTTGCCTGAAGCCCCCTTAGTCCCTTGAAACACTCCTGCTCAGGCACATAGGAAATTAGCAAACAAGCATCTAAGACAGTCCAGAATAGTATTGCAGCTACCTAACAACAACAATCGACCATTTAGAAACTTCACCAACTTTTCATGAATAATCAAGAGGCCTGTATTAGATGACCACATTTGATGTGCAGGTCAGGCAAGAAGTAAATACTAAAATGAAGTCTAAATAAGAAAATGAAAAGAAGTCAGTGAAGCGTTTGAGAAGATTTACCCAGAAATAATAATCTCTCTCTTATTATGTCACTTTGATCCACACTAAAACATTGGATGGCTTGTCATAACATTTTACACCGACAACATTTGTGCCCAATTAAATGTCTCCACATCAACTCGATGTATTACCACCACATTTTCTAACAGATATTCGTGGTTCCTAAATTACATATCCTGATGACTTGTGAAATAACAATAAAACAGAGATCAGGCCCAGCAGGAAACAAATGCAAAAATCAAACAAGGCAGAAAAAAATAACATGAAAACACCGGAGACAAAACACACAGAGACACACCATAGCTAAACAGAAGACCTGGCAGAACCGAGGACTTAAATACAAACTGAACTGATGACAAACTAGAGACAGGTGGCACGGGACAAACAGGTGAAACAGATCAAGGCAACCAAACCGGAGGGAAACACACAAAGGCAGGAAGTAAAAAGCACAGAAACATAAGCAAGGTTTCAAAAATAAAACAGGAAACATAATTAAACACAAATCTAAACACAGAATGAAAGAAAATCTGAAAACAAGGAAATACAGGTAGAAGTCAAAAATCCAAAAGAGTCCATACTAATATCAGACCAACAAAGG